TGCCCCGCCTGAGACACACACTGAAAATGTAGTAAATGTTCCTTTTTATACATTTCCAAGTCCCGAGTTTTGAATGCAGCTGCGTTGAGGCTTGAGTTCGTGGTTCATTGCTAAGTGGTCATCTGGGATTTGTCAAAGATGAAAGCTGCAGTTCTTATCAGCTGTAAACTTTACCAATACTGATACTTGTTTGTTTAGCAAAATGTCTGCAATTGTTTTTACTGACACTTGCTTAATTAACAGGATGTCCATGAAACTTATCTTGTTGATTTATAACAAAAGTTCCTTATGCCCTCATACACATAAGATTTTAAGAACAAAGTTAACCCCTTCTATTACATTCCTGATGCAGGCCAGGATGCCATTGGCCTTCTTGGCCACCTGGGCACACTGCTGGCTCATGTTCAGCTTCCTATCCATCCAAACTCCCAGGTCCCTTTCTGCCTGCCTGCTCTCCAGCCACTCTGTGCCCAGCCTGTAGCGCTGTAGGGAGTTGTTGTGGCCAAAGTGCAGGACCTGGCACTTGGTCTTGTAGAACCTCATTCCATTGGAATCAACCCAACTCTCCAGTCTGTCCAGGTCCCTCTGTAGATCCCTCCTGCCTTCAGGCTGATCGACTCTCCCCCCAAGCTGGGTGTCATGTGCAAATTTGCTAGTTAGCCCAAGCCACTTTTTTCTTTAAATCAGGTGTGCATCAGTGGGCACTGCATGAAGAGAGCTTTGGATCAGACTGTGAAACCTGGAGGTCCTGATTTTGCTGTATGATGACAAATGAATATGAGTCAGCAGTGTCCTGACAGCCAGGAGGGCCAACTGAGTCTTGGGGAGCATCAGGCAGCCAGGCGAAGGAAGGGATTTCCTGCTCTGCTCTGTGGCAGCCTCATCTGAAATAGTGTGCAGTTTGGATGACCTCAGTAGAAGAAGGATGTAAAGACAATGAAGTTTATCAGGAGGAGGGCAACCAAGATGGAGAAAGGTGAGGGCTGTGGGCCCGCACGTACCTCTTTTTCACAGGGTGTTTGGCTGGGACAGAGCTAATTTTCTTCAAGTAGCAGGCATGGAACTGTGGTTTGGATTTGTGCCGGAAACGGTAATAACAGAGATGTTTGCACTGTTGCTGAGCAGTGCACAGTCAAGGCATTTTTGCTCCTCACCCCATCCCACCAGCAAGGCTGGAGGTGCACAAGGAGGTGGGAGAGGACACAGCCAGGAGTGCTGACCCGAGCTGACCACAGGGCTACCCCATACCATATGGCACCATGCTCAGTATACAAAGCTGGGAGAGTTGAGGTACGTTCAGAATGATGGCATTTGTCTTCCTGAGTCTCTTTACATGTGATGGGGCCCGGCTTTCCTAGGAACAGCTGAATACCTGCCTGCCCAGAAGAAGTGGTGGATAAATTCCTTGTTTCGTTTTGCTTTGCTTGCATGCACAGCTTTTGCTTTACCTATTAGTCTTTACCAAAACCCATGAGTTTTCACTCAAATCCTTCAGATTCTCTTTCCCATCCCCCTAGGGGAGAGAGAGCAAACAGCTCTGTGGGGTTAAACCCTGTGTCAGGGAAACAGTATTGCATCAGGGAGAGTTCAGGCTGGACACTGGGAAAAAGAACCTCACCCAGAGGGCAGTCAGTCCTGGAACACACTCCTCAGGGAAGCAGTCTCAGCACCAAGCCTGTCAAGAGTTAAGGAGGGTCTGGATGAAGACCTGGCATATGGTTTAGTGTTACGTAGTTCTGCGAAGAGTTAACTGAGACTCAATGATACTCAAGCATCCCTTCCAACTCAAGATATTTTGTGACTGTGTATTAGACTACATGAACTGAGCACCTGCCTCTGCTGAAGAAATTCACGTCTTTCTTTCCAATCAGATGGCCCACAGACCATTTGGTCCAGAGGTCACACTGC